AGTAGAGGAGCTATAACCTTGAAGCTGAAGAACAGAATTGTCACAAGACTGAACAAGAAAGGCTCAGCACTGGAAGGTGGTTTCTAGTCAGAGCAATAAGGGAGTGACAGGAATAGTGTAACTCAGGGATGTTGTCCTGCAATCCCCTGTCAGAGGAAAGAGCTGGAACTGGCGACTCAACATGTCCATCTGCCCCACAAAGTGGTTATGTGATAAATACCAAAAGAGTCAAACCTACCGGGTCAAGTACAGGGGAAATGAGCAGCCCAGGACCCCACAGGAACTGCATATCAATGGTCCACGTCACTTCGTCAGAGTAGAACCTGGGCAAGTGGGAAGGATATAGCAGTAACTTTTTTTTATGAACTATACCATCAGCAGCAATCATAATATTTCAGGGTACTGATTGTCTAGAATCATGATGGAAGACTGTCATATCAAAATTGCCTTTTTTTTAAAAAAAAAGCTTAGGCAATCTGGAGATGAGAAGGTAAGGTCTTGCTAGTTCAGTTAGCATTCTCTACACACGTGTGAAAGTGTAGATGTGCCTGTGTTCTTGACACACCTTATTCAAGAGTTTCCAGGAAAGGAAACCTACATTCTAATATATATATAAATATATACATATATGGTATTTGATTAGCTGACAATAACATCTCATAGCAACTCATAAGAGTGACTGATAATAATATATGCGTATATGCAGACATTACAGATGGTTTCTGATTACTCTTCTGAATGCTCTGAATTGGTATTTCATAAATTGAGAATTTGTCTATATATATTCCAATGTGCATTTTCATAGACTATATTTGTTTAGATAGTCCCTAACAACATTTAATGTCTTTGACTTTTTTATTCCTCATAAAACTCTCACAAAGGCTGATGAGTAAACTTACTCATGCAAAACTGGGCGTACAACTGTGTCTCCTCGAGTATGGGCTTTATAAAAGAGTGTATACAGGTAGGGTAACAAAGTGTAGCGAATGTTCAAGTAATACTTGGAGGTTTTCACCAAGACTGAATCAGGTCCAAACACAGCTGGATCCTGAGGCTGAAAACAAATATCAGATAATTATTATTTTTATCATGCAGAAAACACTCTGCCAAACATGTGAAAAGTGGCTGCTGTTTCAGAGAGGCTGAATGTCGATGGTGCTCATCTGCTCGGTGCTTGCCTTATGGGTGGTGAGACATGAGGTCCTGCTCCTCTGGGCTCCTTGTATTTTGCACTGCACATCACTGCTTGCCCATCTACAAGGAGGGCACATCACGGTTAGCCCGGGTTTCACCCTGGCATGTAGTCAGGTGTGTGCTAAAGGGCTGCCAAGAGTCATAAAATCATAGAATGCTTTGGGTTGGAAGTGACCTTTAGAGGTCATCTAGTCCAACCCCCCTGCAGTGAGCAGGGACATCTACAACTAGACCAGGTTGCTCAGAGCCCTGTCCAACCTGACCTTGAATGTTTCCAGGGATGGGGCCTCCACTACTTCTCTGGGCAATCTGTTCGAGTGTTTCACCACCCTCATGGTAAAAAATTTCTTCGTTATATCTAGTCTAAATCTACCCTCCCTTAGTTTAAAGCCATTACTCCTTGTACTGTTGCAACAAGCCCTGCTGAAAATATTTTCCCCATCTTTCCTATAGGCCCCTTCAGGTACTGGCAGGCTGCCGTAAGGGTGCCCCGGAGCCTTCTCTTCTCTGGGCTGAACAGCCCCAACACTCTTAGCCTTTCCTCATAGAAGAGGTGCTCCAGCCCTCGGATCACATTTGTGGCGCTCCTCTGGACCCTCTCTAACAGCTCCATGCCATTCTTGTGCCGGGGGCTCCAGAGCTGGACGCAGGACTCCCGGTGGGGTCTCACCAGAGCGGAGCAGAAGGGCAGAATCTTCGACCTCAACCTGCTGGCCACACTTGATGTAGTCCAGGATACAGCTGGCCTTCTGGGCTGCGAGCGCACATTGGTGGCTCATGTCAAGCTTTTAATCCACCAGTACCCCCAAGTCCTTCTTGGCAGGGCTGCTCTCAATCCCTGCATCCCCCAGCCCATATTGACAGCAGGGGTTGCCCCGAGCCAGATGAAGGACCTTGCACTTGGCCTTGCTGAACCTCATGAGGTTCACACGGGCCCACTTCTCGAGCTTGTTCAAGTCCCTCTGGGTGGCATCCCACCCTTCTTGTGTGTCAACTACACCACTCAGCTTGGTGTCATCTGTAAACTTGCTGATGGTGCACTTGATCCCACTAAGTCATTGATGAAAATGTTAAAACAGCACCGGTCCCAGTATGGGCCCCTGAGGGACACCACTTGTCACTGGCATCCATTTGGACATTGAGCCGTTAACCACTACCCTCTGGCTGCGATCTTCCAACCAAATCCTTCCATAGTTCCTAGGGACCTCTTTCCTACCCTTTTTAAAAATGGGCACTTTTCATTTCCTCCAGTCACCAGGGACTTCGCCTGAAAGTTTGATGGGTCACATGGCAGTGGGTGCTTGCCCTTGGTGGTAAGCACAACCAATAGTGATCAAACTGTTGCCAAGTAAGTGTAGTTTCAAGTATATGCAATTAATCTTTATGAAGCCAAACCTCTCGGATCTAAAATTTTATAAAGTGAGCTTAAGGTTCTGCTGTTTTCAAACTGGTCATCTACACAATTGTCAGTGATAGTAATGATTACTAGTGACACTATAAAAGGGAATGTAGCAGTGTAACGCAAAGCATTTTGTAAGAGAAAGCACAACTTACTATGAATCCTTCACTATTGTGATTCCTGGAAAATGGGTAAAATGCTCCTACTTGCATCCATCGTCTGCAAAGTTCTTCTGTGGTGTCGTCAAAGAAGCCACAAATATCTGCTCCAATCTTCAAATAAAAACAAGATGTGTTGGATGTACATTGAGCCGCTTATCTCTATACAAAAATTCTAGTTTTCAGAGAAGCATTAATTCAACCTTAACCGCTAGAAAGAGTGCTGAGCCATTCAACATATTTGTACCTTTCTTATTTCAAACTCAACTATGGTCTACAGAAGTTTAAACTGATTACTAGCTAACACTGCCCATCATTCTATTTCTTCCAAATTTTTACCTTTCTGTTTGGTAGTAATAAGCATACATTAGGAAAAAAGCTCAAGAGTCATAAAAATTTAAATCATGGAAAGGAATTTGGCTATTTCCCTTGTAAATGGATGTCTCTATTTAATTTGAAATTATAAGAAAAAGAGTGAATTGTTTCACATCAATCACTAGCATTTAAAAATTACTAGAAGTCACAGGTAGCTTGGGATATATATGTTTGTTACCTACATTTATCTCACCATACACACACAGCCACAGTAATCAAAATAAGTGGCCTAAACCAAAAACCGGTAATTGGAAAAAAATGTTAAAATGAGAATCCTAAAGGGGATTAATTTGGAGCTGAAAAAGTTAAGATGGCTATCTAGATAGCATTTGATTAGATAACCTGTTATGACAGAGTCAGAGTTACTGTTTACCCATATGTTTTGAAAAGTTGTCACGAATTAATGTCATACATAAGGAATTCCAAAGAGGTTAAATTCCAGCATTCCAGGTATTGCCCATTTTAAGTGATCCCATGTTGCTGCATTATCTCCTAGCCAGTGTCCTGTGTGCTTTCCTGATCCAGCGAAAGTAGACCTCGAAATAAGGAAGCTTCGTTTTCCAGGATACAGTGCTTCAATGACTCTTTAAAGGAAACGAGACTGGAATTACGCAAAGGAAAAAAGATGACTCAGACACCAACAGTTTTATGTAAGGCAGATTTATACTGACTGATTTACAACAATTATTCATCCCACAGATGTGGACTCCTTTATAGTTAACCAAGTGTCTTTTAGTGAAATTCAAGACATTAATTTTAATAAATATTTCTGTACAGCTTTGACAAGCAGTGTGTGGCTTTACTACCAACTTTAGTTTGTAGATTTTGCCTTAGCTACATTGTCTTAAACATAACATAGTATTTTCCAGGAACTCGGTTCCTTTAGAAGTCGAATCTCTTGCTGTTTTGGAAAATGTAGGCCACATACTGTTCTAAAACCTTTTTGTAAAGAGTTTAGGATGCATTCCTTACTTCTGTGTTGATATGGCCATGGAATATCCATAAAGACTGTGGACATCATAATGTTTCCCCCACTTCTGCACTGCATCCATACAAAGTGTCTTGGAAAACATGACCTTATCAAGAATACCTTCAACAAAGGAACACAAATATCACTTTCAAAGCACATTTTGATTCTGACCACTTCCTATCTTTTCTTTAATGCACATCATGACATCTAAGCCCTTTTATCTTTAGTGTTTGCTCTAAGGACAGTATTACCACTACAAAACCAAAATGCTATTCTTGGCTCCTGGTTTGGTTCATCTTTCTCTGTGACATTTTCTACTCTAGAGCTTTGCACCCATGCAAGGAATAATTGAGAACTATGTTCTAAATTTCTGAATCATTATCTGACAACATGTTGGTAACTGTTACTTAAGCCTACTACATAATACAAACTATGAAGTCTATTTTAGTTCTGCATACATCTCAAAAACCACGAACAGTGAAAGAAAATCATTATGTTATCAGAAATAATTAATGCAACAACAATATTCACTAATCATCTGAAAAGGGAAAAATGCCAGTTATATAAGCCATGCCTTCAACGAGGGCCAAAATAGACCAGTATTTTCTGTCAATAGTAAGAACTACACCAAAATCACTTTGTGTCCTTGTAGCCAATTGCCCAGTAATTCATAAACTTTTTAATATTTTGCTTTCTGGTTAAACTAGGTGGACTTACTGGGAGTGAAAGGAGGATAGTTTAAGTCATTCTGCGCACAACCATTTGTCGAGCCTGGAATGAAGTTGGATATTTCATTCATATCCTGAAAAGATAAGATGCAGAAAGTAATTAAGTTTTCTCAAGTACATTTTCATAACAAAGTCTTATGTTCTATTCTTTTCTGCTTTAAGGAATAGTTACTTAGAACTAGTACCATACAATTAGTCAAGAATGATATAACTCAGATACTGACCTGGTCTGTTCCTGTATTAATACAGGTCTCAGTGTTGGACAGACCTCTATATGCAGGTGAGCCTCAAGTCACAAGCGCTGCACCTTATCCCTCCACAGAAAGAAACTGCAAGAGGTACTCATGTATACATTGTCCCTACCTATGAGCTGCTCTATTTCTAGAAGGAAATGTCTTTGGTATGGAGTGTGTATTTGGAAAGAAATGCAGAACCAGCAAATGTACATTGTGACTTTCTGTCAAAATACACAAGGTGACTAGATATTCTTAAACATCTCCTTTGTAATACTTTCCAAGCCATTATATGTTCAAACTTTGCTGTCCCCTTCCATGAATATTTTATTTATCAGTGCTGTAAGCGCATTTCTATGTACATGCTGCAGGAAGAGCATGCATGGGAGAAGAGAACAAATTCATCATGGAGGGACTGTAGTCTAGTGACCAATTTGCTTCACTCAAATTGTTTGCTCTCTGTAAGAGAGTTGTGCAGTCTTGCACTTTGTAGCTTGACTTGATGGAACCACAGAGTCAGCAAAAATAAGTGAGAAACACTCATGCTATCACATAGCAGCTGAAGGACTGTATTTTGCGATACAGGTTAATATAAAATTGTTACAGTTTTTTAAAATGCATGGCAAAATGTTCAGGAGATTCTTGTTTTCTTTCAAAATACATATTCATTATTAAGTAAAAGAAAGTAGGAAAAACACAAAAATAATAAAGGGAAGAAGGCACTGAGACAGGGATTAAGTACAGATTTCCTTCAGGCACTCACATTTAGAAGTTTTATTATAGGCTATTCCTTTAAAAAACTAATCTTGTCAGTCAAAATGGTTCTTAATCTCATCTGATTTCCATTAACTGTACTTAAAATCCACTGTGCCAGACTGTGTTTTCATCCTTTTGTGGAAGAACCTGTCTACAGAGCCTGATTTTTCCAAATCCTTATCTGGAATAGTGATTGCAGATTCAGTAACTGGAAAGTCCATGAGCTACTTGGAGCATAGATACATAGATTATATGCATTATACCCTGTATTCAGGACCTGTTTAGGACACATTCACTGAGCAGGTGTGCTGGTCTCCAAATACTGTCATTCAGAGTACAGGAGTGTGCTGGCATTGGCCTTTAGCAATGGTTCATTATCTGAAGAGTTTTAAAGTGTCACTGGACATCCAAAAATCAGCACACTGATCCTCTAAATGCAATGGTTAATGATTCAAATCAAAATTTAAAATTCAGATTTGAATTGCATATTCAACACTAGAAGACATACACATCCTGCACTGATTTCAGGTTAGTGATAATAAACATTCATTTTAAACTCAATGCAAATTGAATTTTATAAACATCTATCCTTGCCTAATTAAAAAAAATAAAAAGAATTGAAAATTCTGCTTTACTTACAATCCAGATCCCATCATACGGCACTACATCATAAAACAGTTTGCATTCTTCCACCCACCAGCTAGTGCACTCTGTGCTGGTGAAGTCTGGGAACACAGTTTCCCCTGGCCACACCTGCAATGTTAAAAGTGAAATAATTAATTAAAGTTATAATGATATTAAAAAGAGTTCATAGAATCATAGAACAGCCCAAGTTGGAAGGGACCTTGAAAGATCGTCTGGTCCCACTTTTCATGGGAAAGGGAACCCAGATGAGATCATCTAGCACCTTGTCCACTCCCATCTTGAAAACCTCCAATGATGGGGACTCTTCCATGCCTCTGTGGAGGTTGTTCCAGTGTTTGATTGTTCTCACTCTAAAAAATTTCTGGTGAAACTTATACCCTTTGCCCCTTGTCTTCTCCAAGTGGCTTCTGGTGAAGAGAGAGCCTGCCTCCTCTTTGTAGCTGCCCTTTAAGTATGGGAACCCTATCATGAAGTCCCCCTGAGCCTTCTCTTCTCTGGGGAGAAAGGCCTAACTCCTTCAGTCTTTCCTAATAGAGCAGTTTCTCCAGCCCTTTAATCATCTTCGTGGCATGCCTTTGGGTCCTTTCCAATCTGTCTGCATCTTTTTTGAATTGTGGGGACCAGAACGGGACACAGTACTCCAGATGCAGCCTGGCAGGCACTGAGTAGAGTGAGACGATTACATCTCTATCTCTGCTAGTAATATCCCTATGGATGAATCCCAGGATCCAGTTTGGCTTCGTTGCTGCACTAGCAAACTGCTGACTTGTGTTCAGCCTTTTCTCCATCAGAACCCCCATAGTTAGCCATCGAGGGTGGTACAAACATAGTGCTCTGAGGAAGACTTTTGAATGAAAACCTGCTAGAGTGACAATAGCTTGCATGCAGAAGGGTGGCAAAAAGAGTATGAGTTTCTTAACTTTGGAGTTTTCAATTGTGTTTCTTTTAAGGAACAAAACACAACAGAAAAATTTCTCAGTAGAAGATAAAATTATAAATTAAGAGGATAATGTGGGAGCTGGCTCTTCAGCCACTACTGAAAACAAACAGGAGCTGGTTGATTAATTGTCCTTTGAGCCTTCATGCTACATTAGTTTCCCTTTTTGTTTAGTGTAAAAAATTGCAAAAAAAAAAAATCAAGAAAAGTTGAGAAGTATCATATCCTAAATGAGACCTCATAAACGTAGTTCTCACTGGTAGGTAATTTCACTGAAAGAAGCAACTTAGAAAATGAGAGTTTAAAAGGACCCCCCGACCTAAATTAAATCATAACAGCGACAACAGACCAAGTTCAAATTTATAAAAAAATCATTACCTCCCCAATTAGTGCTGTTACTCCATCTGATTCATTAACCCAGACTTTTTTGTCCTGTCCCCTGACGTAACTTCCATATGGACTACCATCAGCTAGATTTTGTGTGCTAATAGCCGGATCCTAAAAAAATATTAGAAAACAAAAAATAAGAAGGAACTAAGACACACTCCATTGATTATTATAAAATACTAGTGTGTTAGGCAATAAATGTAATAATTACATAGAACAAGCAAATAATAGTAATAAAAATTTATAATGGTAGTATTTACAAGGGAAAAAGTAATAATTACATGCTTACCAATATGATAATGTATTTTTGTCCATAGTCATGCATATAAGCTGCAAAATTAGGGAGATCTTGAAAGTTTACTTTGTCATAAGTAAAATCTTTCTTTTCTTCCATATAGTCAATGTCAGTGATCTGAGTATCCTGAAAGAGAAGGGAGTTCAGCTGTGATATGAGATGTGATACGTAAAAACTTTGCGTATTAGTCCGACACAATTTCCTCTGACAATTCCCGTTTGTCCTATAGTGAATTTACTGTTGGGACTTTACTGCAGCCTGGCAGAAAGTATGCTGTCAGGACAACTTGCACATAATGTACATCTCTTCTCATACTTACAGCCCTAATTAATGGTACTGACACATCTTTTCTGCCTAAAAAGACCTGTATTTAGCATTAACAGAATTTTAATGAATGTATGTATTGGCATTCTTTCTAACAGCCCCTGGATGTGTCGCTATTTCATTGCAGTTGCCTGACTTCAAGAGCTGTCCCCTTATATCTAAACATTTCTTCCTAAACTCTTAGCTTAACTTTAGGATATTTTTATTCTCTTTAAGCCATCAAGCTAATATAATCTGAAATCTAATTTTTAAAGTTAATTGTACTTTACCTTTGTCTGTCAATTAAGAATAATATATGGTTCCATAATTGTCCACAGGACAATTAAACAAAACATAATTAATGGATTAGACAACTTGAGAGATAAGTCGATATAGTTGGAAACTATAACTGGAGAATATTGCAATAAAGTGCACAAATATAACTTGCTGTAATTAAGCCCTACCATGACCCACATTCTGAAAATGGGTCTATCATTAAAATGCATAAAAATCTTTGACACCAGAAGCCTACATATTAGAAATTTACTAATTCAAACTGATGTGAAATTCATAGAATCATAGGTTGGAAAAGACCTCTAAGATCATCAAATCCAATCATCCGCCTAACAACACCATGCCTACTAAATTAAGCAGTTGTGGAACACCACGGTCAGGATCTCTAAGTCATTTCTCCTGTAGAGCTCTGCCTTCACGGGTTTGCTGCCCTCCTCAAATCCCATACTTACATAAGGGAGTCCAATCGCCCGGTTCCTCTCCACAACACTCTTCACCTCATCCAGAGACCCGTAATTCCAGCGGCTGAGCTGGAAGCCCAGGCTCCAGTAGGAGGGCAATGCTGGTAGTCCCACGAGCTGCAAGTTGAGAGCAAAACACCCACACATTGTAAGTGGACATTGAGTGTGTCACCTCGGTGCCGGTTTCCCCAGATCCTTACTCCTCAAAGCTATTTGAATAATATACACTAAGCTTAAGTTTGTGAAATGAGCAGCCCTCTTCCAAATCCAATATGTTTCTTTGATTATTTTTTTTTAAGAAATAATAAAAACATTGGGACAACATCTATTCTTTAAGGTGGCACTGAACCATAAACTGCTTTCAAGAAGTACGAATGTTATTAGGGATATCTTATGACCATAGAATCATGATATACCTGTAAGCACATTATCTACCCTATAATATTGCATGTGACCAGGAATTTGCCCTTATAACAAGAGTGAGCCACAGCAAGCAAGCATGAGTTCTTCCATGCAGACCATCTCTAGCTCCAGTGACCACTGTGTCAATCAGACAGGCCATACAGACCGATGAATTTAGCAGCTTCAGAATTCTTGGGGCTCGGGCTGTTGCACAGCCTCTGCTCCAGCATCTCCAGCAAAAGTAGTGCTTAAATTTCAGCTGCCCGTAATAGGCCAGCTAAAAACATCTACACCTCAGCTCAACCCCAGCTAGCTATTACTAATGACAGCAATCACATCAGGGACATACTGACAGTTATTCTTAGTTAAACATACACTGAGTCATATTTTAGGTTAGTAGCTAATATAGTGAAGACATATAAAGAGGTGCAAAAATAACCCCCACCGATAAATCCCAAGCACTTCTAATAATCTGTTCAATGCATAATCACTCTAGCTAAAGGTACCTGCAGGTACTCCTGGACTACTTGCTCTGGAGCGTTCCCCAAGAAGATATAGAAATCAAGGATCCCACCGATGGTTCTGTAGGTCACTGCTGGGGCAGGCTGCACCACAAACTCTGCCAGACAAGAGCACACAAAACCAATTCTGAATACCAGCTATTTCTAAAATAAATTTGTAATTTTCTAGTTGATGATTAGAAAATTTACTTAAGAAAAAAATACAAACCACAAATACCTAAGGAACAAAAAAACATTAATCGAGCTTGCAGTGACGGGGAAATATATTCAGATGACTCTTTTAAATGTCCGTATTTCCATTTCTTTACATCCTATGTAGTAGAGAATTAGAAGAAATCCAACAGCTCAACCTTTTATCTTGAAATTTTCAGTACAACTTTCCATCCTCAAAAAATGTGAAAAGATCTGTAAAGCTCACTTTAAAAATAAGTATTGCTTACTCCAAATTTAAGCTCAGATTCCAGTGTCCTGCACATCTGCACAAAGCTGCACAAGCTTTGGATAGGTTTCTGAGTCTCAAGTTTCCAGCACAATCTTCATGTTAACTGTGTGCTACTTACTGCTTACATCGCATATGCTAAACACTACAGTTTTGATCCCAGCCCAACAGATCAATTAAAAAGATACATAACTGCAGTGCCCAGAGCTACAGAGAAAGCTTTCTTACCCATGGCATTGCTATTCATTAGGAAAACACCAAAGGAGGCTCCAGTGTTGTCTTCCAAACACAGGAAGAAAGTTTGAACTCCATATAAATTATTCATTGCCTGAAAGGATAAGAAGAAAAAAAAGTAAGCTGATTAAAATCTAATAACAGTATCTGTTCTGGAATATTTCAGAATATATCCCAGGTAGAACTTGAAATTTCTCCAAATATAGCAGACAACAAAAACAAAAACCCTGACACTTTCCTACAGTTCTGTTTTCTCTTTCCTGGCATTCTTCTCCTTTATGAGAACATTCTCCATTAAACCAAAGTTTCCCCAAATACAGAGATAACATAAGCAAGCAGATATGATAGATCTTCAGGTGAATCTGGTTATATTGCAGTACTATTTCTGGGTAATATACGTGCACATCAAGCGAGCAATAGAACTTGAAGGCTGTTTTCATCACCTTTCACCAGAGATCAGATTTTATATTTAATCTGTATTTCTATTAATTCTGCAAGGTTATAATTTTTTATGCCTAATGTATGGAAATAAGTGAGTGCCTTGCTTCTTTTTTATTTCCTTTGTAATGTTTTTTTTCTGTTATTGTCAGCAACAAAAACCCTAGAAATTTTAACAATTGTTGTAATAGTTGTGCTTCTTCCCCTGCAAAAGAAAAGTCAGAACAAATGAACGAGAAAGAGTACTTGATCAATTTGAAATCAATCGAACTGGATTCTGCTCACTGTTTAACTCAATGAGTCTACACTCAATAGAGCTGTTCAGGCAACAATTAGCTGCAAACCAGAGAAGACAGTGAGAAGGTATCTCAAGGTAAGCGGTACAAAATACAAATTATTAATTAATTAATTAATTACATATAGTGGTCTCTCCCCCCTGTTTCTGATCGTATATCTCCTATTTCAGCAAAACACTGAAGTGCTCTCTCAAAGTAAAACATATGGGTTGTTGCTTTATGAAACACACATAATAGTGTGTCTTACTATTATCGAAAAATGGGTGCCCTGGAAACTGTTTCGTAAAGAGACAGCCGTAAAGTCTATAGAAACTAATAACAGCTAATAGATATATTTTACCTTGTAAAGAGAAAGCTATTAATGAGAACTTCTCCGTCATTTGCCGAGCTACAAGGATGTTAACTGAAAAAGTATGTGTCATCTGTACTGAATGCTGCACGCAGCAATGCATTAGGACATATTGTTATTTATTTTCTTTATCAGTAGAAAGTGAAGATTCATATATATTAATGTTTATTAACTTGTTTTCAACTGCATGTCAACACAAAAATCAAAATATTTATAAAAAGCTATTCCCCAGGGAATTTCCATCAGTACCATGCAGCTTTTAGTAATAACACACAGTGCCTGACAAGTCTTTGGGGAAAACCTCAATGGATATTATTAATGTGGCTGCTGCATAATAGGCTTGGATGCCAGAAGTCATCTGCAAAGAATGAAGCAGAATAAAACCAGTCCTTACGTCAGAGGGGCCAATATCCCTGGTGAACATGGGCCAGGTTTTCCAGTTAACATCATGCCGGTACTTCTTATGCACGTGCTCTCCCACACCATAGATGTTGCTGCTAGGTAGTTTGATTGAGAGCTGTAAAAACTGGTCAGCATACTGCAGCGGTCCTATGGTAGTATCAAATCTGATGAAACAAGTGAAGGAAAAAAGTTAAGTATTTTACCAAGCATAGTTGCAATAATTGTTTGTACTCCTTTTACTTAGAGCTGGATAGAAGGTTCAGGTGTCCACCGAGAGACCTGAAGGAGAGGATGGCAGGACGGTGCAGGGCTGGAGCAGAGCGACCCTTGCACAGACGAGCAGATGAGCAGTGTCCATTGATCCTGTAGAAACCTCTCACACAAGCAGCCCATCTGTTTTCAGGGGTACAGCTGCACTCCCCTCTTCCACCAAAGCTCCCCACCCTGCATCTGTTGCGCTGACTCCTCAGTCCACTCTGTGGCCACTCACAGGAACGGGGCAGATGGAGAATTTCCGTGGGTGGACAGAAACACAAAAATAATCCACTCCACCAGGTTTTTCAAAACAATTGCAGTTTTTGCTTGCCGATGAAAACAAATAAGTCCCACTCTTGTGTTCTGCTAGGCTGGTCACTACAGGGAAAGGCAGATTATGGCTGTGTGCTAGCTCTCGAATAAACCAAGAGTAGATGAGTGCAGGTTAAAGTGATGGTGTAATACCTTAGCATGGTTCAAATCCCTTTTGATGGCTATCAATCACACCTCCTGTAGCAAATTCTGCATAAAACAACTGCTATACGTTTTAAGGAACATGAAGCTGGTGGTGTTGAAAATAGCTAGAGACTGCTGTAGACCTCTGTACAAAGAGAAAAAGCCAGATATCGATATTCCTCCTTTACGTCTATTAGCAAAACACACAGTAAAAGTCAATTTCATTAATTAAGTTTCTTCCGTTAATTTAACTTTGCACCTTTTCCAACTCCCTTTCCTTACAGACAAACAATTCCTCTTCCAAATAAAGATCGCAAGAGCTTTAAATACTTAAGCCAAACCTAGTTTCACTCTTTGTTTGTACAGGAAGGGCTTTGGAAATGGCGGTGAAATCTAAGCGGTGCTGAGACAAAGAGTCTCGTAGGCAGCCCGATCCCTGCTGCGAGGTGCACCAAGGAGCACCTGGCTGCAAAGCGATGGACTCGTCAATTCCCTCTCCTTCTTTTAGCTCTGCTGAGCTATTGCAGCTGTGATGGTGAACGCCAGAGTCCCTTGACCAGCAAAACTTCAGGCTCGAACTCCACCTGACATCTCCTAGGGTGCCAAAGAGGCTTCATCGGGAGTCTTGGGCATTCTCCCTCCTGATGGGTGGAGGGGACCATCCGTAGGGATCTTTTCCTATAGCCAGAGATGTGCCCAGACCATCACCAAAATGTGATCATTTTCTGTCATGTGACAGGAGTGCTGGGATTTTGGTCCTGTTCTTCTTAGCGATACAATTAAATATCTCCCTAAGAAGCCAAGGGGACAGGAATGGTTGTACCACTTTGCATTTCCTAAGCCACACCAAATACCACTCCGGGTAAGGACCCCCCACAACTCATGGAATCAGTCAGAACATTGCTATTCATTCCTTTCAAACTTGGTCGTGTTCACTTTCATCTTTCAATCCTCTAAAACTTGAAACATTTCCAGCTGGAGAATGTATCAAAATTGACCCCTACCCAGAAGTAGCTGGAGTTTCCATCAGTCATCACTTTTTAAATGAAACAATCATAAATAGAACACAATTGTGAGTTAAACCAGATTTAAAGCAGAGCGCAATTGGAAGGCAGCTGATCCTCAGATTTGAAGGTTATCTTCAGCTTCATTAAACCAAGAGCTTGCAGGCATCTGCAGAAACACAGTCGTTTCCCGAAAGGAGAGAAAATTACTGACTTTGAGACAGTAAACTCTCTCAATGTATATTAACATCATACACAATTTCAAAGGAACATGTTTTTATCCACTCATTTAAAGTAGATTTAATTAGAAACTCTTTTTATAACTGTATTTGTGTGTGATATTTGTGACCTTTAACAGTCATGATATTCATATAGGGGAGAGCAATGAAACTTTCTCTTGACTTCACACAAACACAGACAAATTACTTTTAAAGGACTTTATCACTTCAGATGTATTAGTACACTGTAACTACATTTATCAGTAGGAGTGTATCATTATCACCAAAATCTTTAATGCCTGAAGAAGACCATAAACAAATAAATACTCAGTGCATTAGTGACTACAAACACTGCACAAACAAGCAACAAAAACAGGAGGGTTTGGACTTGCTACAGTTTTAATCTTCTCACTTACCGTTTCCTTTTTTTTTTTTGTTCTAAGTTAAGAATACTACACCTGAGAGAGGCTTCATAGGTCAAATCCTCACCTGATGTATTCCTGTCCAGTTTCAGTGATTCCAAGGACTATCTTGCCCATTTGCTCACAAACTGCACTGAAAGTGGCTTTTCTCTGAGGGGGAAGGGCTGCATTTCCAATGAAACTATGGCAATCTTTCAGGTTGTCTTGCTAATGATCATGGCAATAGGTCAGTCAGAACTCCATCTCTTTTGGGGGACTCAGGTACGACACATGAAGATTGAAGGTGGTAGGCTTTATAACTGTCTAGGTTATTCGGATTTTTGTCATGCACTGCAACAGTACATTAGTCCCCACTCTTCCAAAGAGGCCTTCCTTTTGTTTGGTTGTTGAAGAGTTGGGGGAAAGCACTCATCTTGTGTAAACAAATTTATCAAGGAATTCTCTCTGAGGGGCTGCTCTTACCCCATGCTAGCAACAGCTTTCTTTGAAATACTCAAACTCCGAGTCAAGCATCACTGTAATTTTTTTCTTTAGAGACAGAAAAGGCAACCACTTTTATCAAACTAAACAAAAGCCGAAAAGACAATCTTCCAGAGCACAGTTTCAACATGGTTCTGTAGGACTAGGTTTCTTATTCCCCCCTCCATATACCTGTTTAATCAGTCACGCACTACTGAATACCAAGTCCATCTTTTGTGCTCTCTATAATTGCAAATCAATCATTATAGAGGGTTCTAAGCAAGAAAACAATACTAATAAGAGCACATAAGTAATCGATAATTAATTAAATTTGAAGCATTGACAATCCAACTGGCCTAGCACTCTGACAGGTAATCATTCTTAGACTGATTTAATAAGCATGTTCATCCTGACACTTCCCCCTTCTAACGGGTCTTAAGAACAGAGAGCCAGACCTAGAACCTTTCAGACAGAGCTTTGCATATCGCAGGATTTATTTCCAAAGGCCTCACAGGAGTCCTTGCAGAACACCCATCGGAAAAAAGAAGAGAATCAGATTACATGTGCAAGAGGGCACTTCACATGAGATATCTTGAACATACATTGCTTGCGTGGCAACAGGGCTTTCAGAGAAAACCTATGACATCTGTGTCATTCAGAAAAAACACCAACATTACTTACAGCACTCTGCCGTTGCTCACTCTGGTCACCACGATGCCAAAGGGATTCTGCTTCACTTCCACTTTGTAGTTCAAATTGGATGCTGCGGATCCCGTGAAAGATTGCACATGCTCATGTGGAACTTCAAATCTTTGTGTTTTAGGATCAGTGATCTGCTCATATTTGAACAACAGAAGTGTTGGGCCTTTAGATACTAATGTCCAATTCAAACATTTTCCAGCATTAACATGCAGTTCTGACTTCAGATAGTCACACCCCTGTCCCAGTGTCCTCCTTCTGCCTTCATTGTTATTCTCTTCCAATTTTAACTACTCATTTTTAGCCATTTCCCTCATAGGTCTTCACCCTGTGTTTCCCTGGCTCAGCAGGACCACCCCCAAGAAGAGGAAAGTCTCCCACAGAAGAAGCCCTACTCAACCCCAGAACCTATCGATACCCCACATTCATGGCACAGACTACTGAGTTTTCCATAGCAAACAGAAATCACTGAAAGAGCTAATGTTATCTAGTAATTGAGACATATGGCTAGACCATAAACAAAAATAAGTAAAAGAGTTTATTCCTAAAAATTTCCTGTGATGAAGAAAAAAGATAGATAATATAAAAGCTGACTTTTTCAAAGGTCTCAGTAAATTTTCATGCAGAAATCTCACTGTGCTAACCCCTCGTTAACGTGATGCATCGCAATAGCAGAGAGGACAAAGAAGGGAGGAGCCGAGCACTTCAGTGGGAGTCATGGCAGTGCATCAGAGGGATTAATCCAGCCCTCCTAACCTCACTGCACAGTAACAGCCAGCCTAAAATCTTGCACAGAATGCGAACCTTAAAACAGCATAGGAAAAAGATTAACCTTGAACCGGAAGCGATTCGGTGTCTGATACTCTCCCGAGAGGAGGACAGTGTCGATATCATTTCCAAAGAGGGAAGGTGATGGTAGCCTTGTTAATGTGGTCTCAAATCCTTGGGAAAAAACACAGGTTGCGGTGTTACTGTGTTGAATAGGACATCAGCATGTACATAAATTGGGGAACTCAGCCCATAGCTTACCTGACTGAGTTGATCTTGTCGACCCATCCACTTTGTACCCATGGTTTGAAGAGAAAAAACACCAGGGCACACTGGTGTCACTCCCAGGACTCCAGCAACAGCCACGCAAGGTGCAGGTACTCTGATTCAAGGACATGAGGGGCACAAATGAGCTGATTTTACACAAATAAATCCTCTATACTTAAACAGTTAAAATGCACATGGAGTATATTTTACCCCAAACACCAGAAACCTTAATAGTATCTACAGTCAGATCAGCTCCTCTCTGAAGATCTACCAGGTGAATTCAATGGCACAGAATACACTAAATAGCAAGGATTTTTTTCTGGATTCAGAATAGAAACATGCTGATTAGACATTCATTCTTTGTTAAAACCACAAGATTTGCACGTAAAAAGAACATTTAAAAAGAATTTTTGAAATAATTGAGCTATGACAGATGCAGTATAGTTTGACTAAAAGTCACACACTGAAGAGGGGGTAAAGGTTATAATTGGCTTAACATCTGGTAAACATCTGGTTGTTAAACATTTACATATGCATAATTGATCATCATGTATAATATCTACATTTTAATGTAATTTTTCAATATCAGAAATGTTCAGGTTGCTTCTGCAGAACCTCAAATTGAGATAAATATTTCTTTTTCAAAAAAACCCAAGCAAATAAACCTATTGTTTAAAGCATATGTGTCAGTGTAGTGGTACCAACCTTTACACTACCTCTCAGTAGCCCAATAAGCTACGGTACCTTTGCTTTGCTGTTAGAAATTAACTTATTTACATGCTGTTTGCATGATTTTATGTTCGAAGATAAGATTTGGGTAATATATCACTAAGTTTCCGCACATTTTCTCACATTAAAAACCCAACTCATCACTTAGGGCAAAGGGCAGTAGTAACACAACAAGCTTCAGTGAGGGCAAAAGGCAGAGACCGTAAGCGACCTCAGGTATCCAAATCCAACATGCAGGTCATTGAGACCTTTCCCTCCACCTGCCCACTAACAGAAGCTGTTTCTGCCTTCACCTGATTATGCTCCAATGTTTTTGGTGTTTGTGCCATGCTCATTTAAAATATTCTGCAGCTTGAAACAGGTGGAGACAGTCCAAAATCTCTATTGCTGCTGTCCTGGGTGGCACTTTTTTTAGGATTATAGAGCCCAACAAGGTCGGTGCAGGCTTTGCTCAGCCTCTAAACAGAGCAAAGATAAACCAGCTCCAGCCCAGAAATCACGCAAGTGCCAAAGGTAAGCACAGGGGGAGCTCATAGAGCCACTGGCTTGGGAAGTCTTAATGTGTTTATTTGGTAGCGATTGCATGGAGCACAGAAATCTCTGCAAAACCACCCAAGATAAAACCCAGTTTCACCAAAGAGATTGATTTTTGTATCTCTGTCATGGGTTCATCACATCAGAAGACATGTAAGCTGTCATTTTCTTTAGGTTCCAAGCAAATAACAAGGTTGGAGGAGAGATACAGTGACTCATTTTTCCCCACATCGATCCACAAATCAATGCACTTTCTAAGGCTGTAAAGAAACCATGCTCACTTTCCACCTTCCGAGCTCCCACCATGAGAGCTCCCTATTTCCCATTTTATAAACTATTTCAGAGTAAGTGAGAAGAAGCACCAATCCCTACCAAGACTGCAGAGATCACAGCTTTGCTCCCTTACTTCATTTCCTTCATTCATAGGGGAATATCCTAAACACGTAAGAACAGAGTTGCTACCTCCATCCTCTTATCTCTTCCTCAACCAGTGACTATCCCATGCCGTGAAGAATAGCTTGATCAACAGATTTGCTGAAAGCCTGGTAGTTCAAACATCCGTGTTCCCAACTTCATAAGCGTGCTTTTCTTTCCAGCTACTTCACAAGAATACTTGTTGACTATTTTCAGCAGTTAGTTTACAGTCCAATGATATTCTTTTAGGGTAGATCTTATTCTAGTGGATTTTTGAGCTATAGCTCTGTGTTTCCAGAGCACATTGAGCTGACTGCATAAGGAAGTCAATACAGAAGTGCAAGATGGGTTGCACCTGATGCAGATGAAGGAGCACAGTTCATCCAAAGACCCTGGAGAGGCTGTTATAATAGCTATCATTCAGTGTAAATAAAGATGTGAGCTGATCACAGCATAATAGACACCAATACGCAATCAAGCTAAAGAGAAAGTCAGAGCTTAATTAGAAATAATCCTGGACACAAGGAAACAGTTTACGCTGGGGTATAGTATGAGGCAGCTTTTGAATATTGAACAGAGCACTGAGGATTAAAAGAAGAGTTTTTCCGTGTGCTGAATGAAATTTTTTCCCTTATGTGCACCCAAATAAACCTCTGCCAGCAGGATATTTTGGAAAAAAAACCACAGAAACCAAAACAAAACCAATAATACGCGCTTCCCCCAAGCTTTCAGAGGTATCAGTCCAATAATGGACTACACTACCTCTGCTCATGGTAGTTAATTTTTTACTGGTACATCCTTCTTGCCTACTCAAACTTCGCAGCAATTTTCCACAGCAGTGAATAGTTAATAAATATCTACTTTCTTTCAGCATATCTATCTTTGTCATCCCCGTGATCAGTTAATAAATATCGATTTGCTGTCCATACTTCTATCCTCTGCAATCCTGCTCATTTCCTGGCTTTATCTAGGACATCTTCAGTGAATAAAGAAATCAAGACAGACGCTAACCTGCTATATGAGCTTAGGCAAATAGGAATTTTCCCAGCTGCTGTTTTTTCTGAAAACCACTAAGGAAAGAACAGATTCAGGAATCATTTATTTTACCTCTACTTCCAGAGCAGGTACCCCAATGTTCAAATCTGCATCTGGCCCTACTTTTCTGCCAGTATCTACAATTAGATTATGTTTAGTTCTTTTTCATCAACACTGGTAAAAAGCAAGGGCAGACTTACAATAAGGCTTACAGTTGCAACCAGAGCAAAATGATTTCCCTCAATGTACGAGTGCAGCACTTAATGTGGGGCAACTGGTTCAAAGGTGGTAATTAAAGATTAAAATGATCTGCATACCTGCTTCTGCCATGGTGTTCTTGCTCCTGGCGGGGTGAGAGTAACGAAAGTATAAAGGAACAGGCTCTGCGCTGAGCCTTTACTAATGTGTTTGCCCACAGGACTTTATTGAACTATGTATCATAAAACAACCCATGGCATGACAGCAGCTTTAACAACTGTCATTTCTGGAATTAGACTGGGAATTTCCTCAGACAATGAGACAGCTGTTTAATCATTTTTTATACCTCTATGAATGACATAAATATCACACATCATAATATATTCACTATTTTTTCTCCTAAGCTGCCCCCACAAATGAAAGAAAGATGCCAGGCATCCACTATCTTCCATCAGAAAATGAGAACTTCCATCTTAAAATTGAAAAAAAAAGATAATAAAAATAATAACAGCCTTTCAAGATCAACTGTTACAAATGTGTTCTGAATGTGAGAGCACTGAAAAATTAAGTTGATGCTTTCCACTGGGAATCTTAACTCATAGGTTCTTAAGCCAAAAGGTCATTTCTAAACTTTGCGCTCTCCCAGATAAGAAACACCATAACCAAGAAAGGAAGATGCAGACTCAGATTGGTTCTGAAAGGCAACTATGACCATATCTCTTATATTAGAAAAGTCTTGTTCATCTGGGCGAAAGTGCATCTTCACCAGCTAGTTCTGGAGAAGAATGGCTTTTGATGTCTGACTAATTTTGTTTCCACCTATCCCAAAACCAAACTGCTGGGGAGTACTTTGGCAGTGGTCTTCAACCTTTGACAGCAAAATGCTACAGTGTCTAGAAAAAAGAGACTTTCCGTGAATGGGCTGATAAGAGTTATACAGGAGTTACACTTCCCTGCAAAGTGTTCAGGAAATCACAGATTAAAAAACGTTAAGAAAACCACTGATAAAGTAGAGACAAGTGAAATTTATGTAATTAACCATGAGATTTTATGGGGTAAAGCCTATTTTCTGATTTTTTTCTATAATGTTTTCAGACCTTTGTTGCTACTTGATCCGGGATGCAGTCAATTCTCTCTGCTATTAATAAGTTCCAACATTCTGGCGTAAATTCTGTTAGGGAAATAAATTAATGAGTTATTACCAGGATTTCCAAGATGTACGCTCTAATCATTAATATAGATTCAAATGAGGGTAAAGTGTTGCTACTGTGGTTTATCTTACCTTTGAAAATTGCACACAACTTTTTCAGATAAAGGTAGGACCACTTCACTTGAAAGTTTTTGAATATATGGGTGACATTGACAATTTTATTTCTTAACATATACATTAATACAATTTTCAGTAAGTCTTGTAGCTCATTATGCATTGCTTCTTGTGAATATAGATGCCAAATTAAAATTGGAAGGACTTTTCTTTTTCTTAAATGGTACTGTGCTGCTGCTCTCACAGGTGTTCCTTCCCCTGAAGCTCTGTTCTTCCACAGAAGCTTGAATTAGAGCATCACATAAAAGCACCTGAAAGCTCCGTTAAGATGCTCCACTAGATTTCACGTTTGTCGGACCAAATTTAAGGTGACCTCTTGGCAACTTCAGCTGACAAATGGTACCCAGTGGCTGTTTTCAGTTTCTCCTGACACCAAAAGTTACTTTGCATGTGTTTTGGAACACTGTGTATGTTTGGAACGAGAACTAAAAAGTGTAGAAGTCTTGTCTCAGGCTGACAGGCACACAAATACATGGACTTGCCTGTTTGTGTGATCTGCAATATACACACTTAACAATTTTTGCTCAGGAAAACTCACACTCATCTCATGACAGAAACAGGCAGAAAATATGCAGATTTTAGTCTGCATGGGCAGTTTTACTAAAACACCGAAGTGTTTTGTATAAGCAATTATTTTTATTTCACTGCCATTTTCACCTGCAAGATTTTTGCTTCAATCCCCATGTGCAGATGGGGTTACTCACACAAAATCAAACTGTATGTAAACAGGGTGCTCTGTATCACATGCTTATAAGACAACTGGTTTCTAATGTACCAATACATTAGCAGGAAACACTATAGATTTTTCTGGTTATAATGTATGTTCCACACAATTTGGCTGCTCCCACATAGTCTCCCTCATGCCTTTTTTTTTTTTTCAGTCTTGTCTTTTTTAGATTAAAAAATTTTGCGGTCATACCAGTTCTATGTTTAGAACACAAGTCCAGTCTTGGGAGGAAGGGGTAAAAGGTTTTTTTTATCACAATAAATTCTGAGTCACACTGTCTATTAAGGTTATAACTGATAACTTTACTCATGTTATCTGTAGGAAAGATGGACTATGATTCACCTTTGGGTAATGATAAGAACATGACAGTAACACTGCAAGTCAGTACTTCCTGGTGTTTTTTTTTTTTTAACAGAGCTTAGAGTGCTTTTTTGTTTTCTCACTTGAAAGCCTACATTCCTGAAAAGTGATTCCAGCAGTGACAGAAACGATGCCAACGGTTAGTTCTTGAAGCTCAGTGGCATTTACAACAGTCTCAGCAAGCAGAGGGGAGCAGCTCCCACTCGACGTTTTTGCTCTGGTCCTGCAGTAGCAAGGGGAAGTACATACCTGTAGTTTTGACTCCAGACTGTCCTGATGCTAAAAGCCCAATAAGGACACAGGCTATGACTGCCACCATGCAGAAGAGGACGATCAGGGTGGTTTCCAGCCCACTGAACTGCCTCTTGCCCATCTAGGCCCAGAGAAACACCATCAGTATACGGAAAACAGAAGTAACATCTTTGAAAAAAACTTTATAAATTCTATTCATAATTTAATAAGTTAGCAAAATTTACCAACAATTCAAATTATAGACCATGTCCCCTAATCCCAGACCTTAAACACAGCACTCCTTAAGGACTACATGTAATAAAGCTCCAGTTCAGGATAATTCACACAGCACAGGTCACTGCATTGTTACACTAGCGGGCAAGCACTGAGAAATGCATTTTCTTCCCTGCAAACCACACACATAGAACACAATTTTCTCCTCAGATTAACTATGGAGTTTTCTACATGTTACTGAAATTCCTGAAAGAGAAAAAAGTCACACACTGAAGAGGGGGTAAAGGTTATAATTGGCTTAACATCTGGTAAACATCTGGTTGTTAAACATTTACATATGCATAATTGATCATCATGTATAATATCTACATTTTAATGTAATTTTTCAATATCAGAAATGTTCAGGTTGCTTCTGCAGAACCTCAAATTGAGATAAATATTTCTTTTTCAAAAAAACCCAAGCAAATAAACCTATTGTTTAAAGCATATGTGTCAGTGTAGTGGTACCAACCTTTACACTACCTCTCAGTAGCCCAATAAGCTACGGTACCTTTGCTTTGCTGTTAGAAATTAACTTATTTACATGCTGTTTGCATGATTTTATGTTCGAAGATAAGATTTGGGTAATATATCACTAAGTTTCCGCACATTTTCTCACATTAAAAACCCAACTCATCACTTAGGGCAAAGGGCAGTAGTAACACAACAAGCTTCAGTGAGGGCAAAAGGCAGAGACCGTAAGCGACCTCAGGTATCCAAATCCAACATGCAGGTCATTGAGACCTTTCCCTCCACCTGCCCACTAACAGAAGCTGTTTCTGCCTTCACCTGATTATGCTCCAATGTTTTTGGTGTTTGTGCCATGCTCATTTAAAATATTCTGCAGCTTGAAACAGGTGGAGACAGTCCAAAATCTCTATTGCTGCTGTCCTGGGTGGCACTTTTTTTAGGATTATAGAGCCCAACAAGGTCGGTGCAGGCTTTGCTCAGCCTCTAAACAGAGCAAAGATAAACCAGCTCCAGCCCAGAAATCACGCAAGTGCCAAAGGTAAGCACAGGGGGAGCTCATAGAGCCACTGGCTTGGGAAGTCTTAATGTGTTTATTTGGTAGCGATTGCATGGAGCACAGAAATCTCTGCAAAACCACCCAAGATAAAACCCAGTTTCACCAAAGAGATTGATTTTTGTATCTCTGTCATGGGTTCATCACATCAGAAGACATGTAAGCTGTCATTTTCTTTAGGTTCCAAGCAAATAACAAGGTTGGAGGAGAGATACAGTGACTCATTTTTCCCCACATCGATCCACAAATCAATGCACTTTCTAAGGCTGTAAAGAAACCATGCTCACTTTCCACCTTCCGAGCTCCCACCATGAGAGCTCCCTATTTCCCATTTTATAAACTATTTCAGAGTAAGTGAGAAGAAGCACCAATCCCTACCAAGACTGCAGAGATCACAGCTTTGCTCCCTTACTTCATTTCCTTCATTCATAGGGGAATATCCTAAACACGTAAGAACAGAGTTGCTACCTCCATCCTCTTATCTCTTCCTCAACCAGTGACTATCCCATGCCGTGAAGAATAGCTTGATCAACAGATTTGCTGAAAGCCTGGTAGTTCAAACATCCGTGTTCCCAACTTCATAAGCGTGCTTTTCTTTCCAGCTACTTCACAAGAATACTTGTTGACTATTTTCAGCAGTTAGTTTACAGTCCAATGATATTCTTTTAGGGTAGATCTTATTCTAGTGGATTTTTGAGCTATAGCTCTGTGTTTCCAGAGCACATTGAGCTGACTGCATAAGGAAGTCAATACAGAAGTGCAAGATGGGTTGCACCTGATGCAGATGAAGGAGCACAGTTCATCCAAAGACCCTGGAGAGGCTGTTATAATAGCTATCATTCAGTGTAAATAAAGATGTGAGCTGATCACAGCATAATAGACACCAATACGCAATCAAGCTAAAGAGAAAGTCAGAGCTTAATTAGAAATAATCCTGGACACAAGGAAACAGTTTACGCTGGGGTATAGTATGAGGCAGCTTTTGAATATTGAACAGAGCACTGAGGATTAAAAGAAGAGTTTTTCCGTGTGCTGAATGAAATTTTTTCCCTTATGTGCACCCAAATAAACCTCTGCCAGCAGGATATTTTGGAAAAAAAACCACAGAAACCAAAACAAAACCAATAATACGCGCTTCCCCCAAGCTTTCAGAGGTATCAGTCCAATAATGGACTACACTACCTCTGCTCATGGTAGTTAATTTTTTACTGGTACATCCTTCTTGCCTACTCAAACTTCGCAGCAATTTTCCACAGCAGTGAATAGTTAATAAATATCTACTTTCTTTCAGCATATCTATCTTTGTCATCCCCGTGATCAGTTAATAAATATCGATTTGCTGTCCATACTTCTATCCTCTGCAATCCTGCTCATTTCCTGGCTTTATCTAGGACATCTTCAGTGAATAAAGAAATCAAGACAGACGCTAACCTGCTATATGAGCTTAGGCAAATAGGAATTTTCCCAGCTGCTGTTTTTTCTGAAAACCACTAAGGAAAGAACAGATTCAGGAATCATTTATTTTACCTCTACTTCCAGAGCAGGTACCCCAATGTTCAAATCTGCATCTGGCCCTACTTTTCTGCCAGTATCTACAATTAGATTATGTTTAGTTCTTTTTCATCAACACTGGTAAAAAGCAAGGGCAGACTTACAATAAGGCTTACAGTTGCAACCAGAGCAAAATGATTTCCCTCAATGTACGAGTGCAGCACTTAATGTGGGGCAACTGGTTCAAAGGTGGTAATTAAAGATTAAAATGATCTGCATACCTGCTTCTGCCATGGTGTTCTTGCTCCTGGCGGGGTGAGAGTAACGAAAGTATAAAGGAACAGGCTCTGCGCTGAGCCTTTACTAATGTGTTTGCCCACAGGACTTTATTGAACTATGTATCATAAAACAACCCATGGCATGACAGCAGCTTTAACAACTGTCATTTCTGGAATTAGACTGGGAATTTCCTCAGACAATGAGACAGCTGTTTAATCATTTTTTATACCTCTATGAATGACATAAATATCACACATCATAATATATTCACTATTTTTTCTCCTAAGCTGCCCCCACAAATGAAAGAAAGATGCCAGGCATCCACTATCTTCCATCAGAAAATGAGAACTTCCATCTTAAAATTGAAAAAAAAAGATAATAAAAATAATAACAGCCTTTCAAGATCAACTGTTACAAATGTGTTCTGAATGTGAGAGCACTGAAAAATTAAGTTGATGCTTTCCACTGGGAATCTTAACTCATAGGTTCTTAAGCCAAAAGGTCATTTCTAAACTTTGCGCTCTCCCAGATAAGAAACACCATAACCAAGAAAGGAAGATGCAGACTCAGATTGGTTCTGAAAGGCAACTATGACCATATCTCTTATATTAGAAAAGTCTTGTTCATCTGGGCGAAAGTGCATCTTCACCAGCTAGTTCTGGAGAAGAATGGCTTTTGATGTCTGACTAATTTTGTTTCCACCTATCCCAAAACCAAACTGCTGGGGAGTACTTTGGCAGTGGTCTTCAACCTTTGACAGCAAAATGCTACAGTGTCTAGAAAAAAGAGACTTTCCGTGAATGGGCTGATAAGAGTTATACAGGAGTTACACTTCCCTGCAAAGTGTTCAGGAAATCACAGATTAAAAAACGTTAAGAAAACCACTGATAAAGTAGAGACAAGTGAAATTTATGTAATTAACCATGAGATTTTATGGGGTAAAGCCTATTTTCTGATTTTTTTCTATAATGTTTTCAGACCTTTGTTGCTACTTGATCCGGGATGCAGTCAATTCTCTCTGCTATTAATAAGTTCCAACATTCTGGCGTAAATTCTGTTAGGGAAATAAATTAATGAGTTATTACCAGGATTTCCAAGATGTACGCTCTAATCATTAATATAGATTCAAATGAGGGTAAAGTGTTGCTACTGTGGTTTATCTTACCTTTGAAAATTGCACACAACTTTTTCAGATAAAGGTAGGACCACTTCACTTGAAAGTTTTTGAATATATGGGTGACATTGACAATTTTATTTCTTAACATATACATTAATACAATTTTCAGTAAGTCTTGTAGCTCATTATGCATTGCTTCTTGTGAATATAGATGCCAAATTAAAATTGGAAGGACTTTTCTTTTTCTTAAATGGTACTGTGCTGCTGCTCTCACAGGTGTTCCTTCCCCTGAAGCTCTGTTCTTCCACAGAAGCTTGAATTAGAGCATCACATAAAAGCACCTGAAAGCTCCGTTAAGATGCTCCACTAGATTTCACGTTTGTCGGACCAAATTTAAGGTGACCTCTTGGCAACTTCAGCTGACAAATGGTACCCAGTGGCTGTTTTCAGTTTCTCCTGACACCAAAAGTTACTTTGCATGTGTTTTGGAACACTGTGTATGTTTGGAACGAGAACTAAAAAGTGTAGAAGTCTTGTCTCAGGCTGACAGGCACACAAATACATGGACTTGCCTGTTTGTGTGATCTGCAATATACACACTTAACAATTTTTGCTCAGGAAAACTCACACTCATCTCATGACAGAAACAGGCAGAAAATATGCAGATTTTAGTCTGCATGGGCAGTTTTACTAAAACACCGAAGTGTTTTGTATAAGCAATTATTTTTATTTCACTGCCATTTTCACCTGCAAGATTTTTGCTTCAATCCCCATGTGCAGATGGGGTTACTCACACAAAATCAAACTGTATGTAAACAGGGTGCTCTGTATCACATGCTTATAAGACAACTGGTTTCTAATGTACCAATACATTAGCAGGAAACACTATAGATTTTTCTGGTTATAATGTATGTTCCACACAATTTGGCTGCTCCCACATAGTCTCCCTCATGCCTTTTTTTTTTTTTCAGTCTTGTCTTTTTTAGATTAAAAAATTTTGCGGTCATACCAGTTCTATGTTTAGAACACAAGTCCAGTCTTGGGAGGAAGGGGTAAAAGGTTTTTTTTATCACAATAAATTCTGAGTCACACTGTCTATTAAGGTTATAACTGATAACTTTACTCATGTTATCTGTAGGAAAGATGGACTATGATTCACCTTTGGGTAATGATAAGAACATGACAGTAACACTGCAAGTCAGTACTTCCTGGTGTTTTTTTTTTTTTAACAGAGCTTAGAGTGCTTTTTTGTTTTCTCACTTGAAAGCCTACATTCCTGAAAAGTGATTCCAGCAGTGACAGAAACGATGCCAACGGTTAGTTCTTGAAGCTCAGTGGCATTTACAACAGTCTCAGCAAGCAGAGGGGAGCAGCTCCCACTCGACGTTTTTGCTCTGGTCCTGCAGTAGCAAGGGGAAGTACATACCTGTAGTTTTGACTCCAGACTGTCCTGATGCTAAAAGCCCAATAAGGACACAGGCTATGACTGCCACCATGCAGAAGAGGACGATCAGGGTGGTTTCCAGCCCACTGAACTGCCTCTTGCCCATCTAGGCCCAGAGAAACACCATCAGTATACGGAAAACAGAAGTAACATCTTTGAAAAAAACTTTATAAATTCTATTCATAATTTAATAAGTTAGCAAAATTTACCAACAATTCAAATTATAGACCATGTCCCCTAATCCCAGACCTTAAACACAGCACTCCTTAAGGACTACATGTAATAAAGCTCCAGTTCAGGATAATTCACACAGCACAGGTCACTGCATTGTTACACTAGCGGGCAAGCACTGAGAAATGCATTTTCTTCCCTGCAAACCACACACATAGAACACAATTTTCTCCTCAGATTAACTATGGAGTTTTCTACATGTTACTGAAATTCCTGAAAGAGAAAAACAAACAAAATCCCCTTCTCTTCTCTCTTTTTCTTCTCCAAGTTTTCTTTCTTTCTTCAGAACGAACACAAAGTATATCCTGCTTCGTAAAGGAGGAGTGTACCTGATAAAAACCTGTAATGAACTCTGACTCTATACTTGTGACACATGGCAAAGGCAAGACAGAGGTAACAGGGTAAATTATTGATTTCCAAAGTGGAAGAATATATCATGCATATAATCCCACGGGATTTCACAGTGGGTGCAGTTCAGTGCAAGCAGGATAAACTGCCACGCGATGAACACTGGCTGTTGCTGAAATCACAACTGACATGAGAGAGAGGGTGCAGGTGGAGTCAGTGCCTTCAACTGCTGTGTAAAACTCGTGTTTTTCCCAGTCTTGCTTTTCTGTGAGGCACAGTGGAGCAAGGCGTGCTGCGCCAAGGGGCTGTGCTGGCTGCAGAGCCAGCCGCTCAGCCCCGTGCGAAGAGCAACACTGTGCCATTGACGCTGAAGTGCGCACCAGCAATAAAACTAATGAAAACTAACCTCCAGCATCCAGATCAATACAGACTGGCAGCAGCTCCTGCATTTTGCATTTGATTAAGAACATTTAACGTTAGAAACCAGCCTTAAATAGGGAGAAATCAGTTCTTTTTGGTTAAAGCAAGAAAGCGCAGGAACACATGTGTGTTGCAGTGGTATATCAAAAGATGTTCACATGCTTTAGTGATGACCCCAAGGAATGAAAAAGACTTTAGAAAAAGCGTTTGTTTGTATAATAGTTTAAGTCTATCGTATATTCTTGCCTCCCATGTCTTCCAAGCATAACCAATCACCCTACCTACACCCCTATTCATGGAAATTATGCAGCCACAGGAATGAACTAAGAGTAAAAGCAATACTGGACCATCAACAGTCTCCAGAAGAGTAAAGCTAGTACTTAGATAACTAAGTGCTTTTCAGTATGGTGATTAATAAAGAAGCTTTTATAAATAGCATAATATTATTCATAATTTCTCCATTAATATAAAAATTTGTAGCCATTTCTAATATTATGATTATTGTTACTCCCACTGGGTCTATTGTACTTAAAGTGTGCAACTATACTGTATGTTGAAAAGGCTATATTTTATTGCCTCTTCCTCACAATGAGGAAATCATACTCCAGCAGTTCTTCTCCCGAGTTCCCTTTAGCATTGCCTGAATGCCTGTTGACTAGGAGTCCTAAAAAATAACATTAGTTTTTCTGAACACTAGAATCTTGTTAAAATTCTTGTCATCAAGCCCTATCCCGTCTCCCTCTGTCCAACTATAATATTGCATTTCAGTTCTTTTCTTCTCCTGGTCTCCCCCAAGACTTAAGACTTCAGAAATAAGGCTTTATAATTTACAAATGCAAGTTCTGTTGTGTGATGTGTACTCAGCAGTGAGGTAAATGTCTCCAGAAACTTGGATGCAATAAAATGAATGACATACCTTAAAGCCCCTCTGCTTCCTTCATGTCCTGCTCTTGATTGTAAAGCTCAACACCAAAAGCGATGCTTTATCCTTTGCTGTTATCAGTTATCGCATTATTTGCCAACCAATGTACCAGTCACAGGTACATACATGATTACCGGCAGATTGCTGCAACTCCTTGGACTCAACATAGTTAATGTGATTATTGCAGTCAAGGAATGGCTGGTTAATTAATGATATTCTGCACCAATATGACACATTAGATTCTGCAAATGAGAGAAAAGCGGCAATAAAATGCCAGTAAGCATGTCCATCTTGCAAGACTAAACAGGTTTTTTACTCTTCTTTTTCTGTATCTTTGTTACTAGAACCTTCATGGAACCTTCACATTTTTTTTCTGCTATAATCACCGCAAGAAGTCATTAAATATTCCCAAATGAGGAAAAGAGCTATTAAAATAGTTGCAGGAGAGAATTGAATTTATGACCATAAAAATTTTTTTAGGAATGAACTATAAAGTATTCATTTTAACATGAATATAAACAGATTTCATGGGATGCTAAAAATAAGTGTCAAAACCAGAAGAAAAAGATGAATGACTAACATGGAAAGGAGTCTATAGGGAAGAAGCTTCAATCATAATCTTAATATGAAACCTTCATATGTAACTGGGTTTTCTCTTTTTTTCATAACAGATAGATAGATTCTTAACATTAAATCTTTATTTTCCAAAGGAAAATTATGAATTCATACTATTAAAGTGTGAACAAGTTATTTTTCATTAAAGTAGAAATGGCCGAGAAGTGGCACTGGTATTTTTTGAACTGTTCACAAATTTATTCAGTTCCCTGAATATCTCACCTCCCACTGTGAAGTGCAGGAATGAGATGTGTCCTCTCTGAGCACAAAGGTAATGGCCCTCCTCTCCTTAGTCAGCACTCAAAAGAAAGAAGATCAATCATACATCTGGAGCACTGGGGCTCTCCTGTAACCATCCATCTTTACACAAATCAATGCTGCCACTCTCCCTGACTCTGCTTTTGAAACATAGCCTGTTATTTAGCTATCTCACCCTCTCCATTTCCTTATAACACCCCATATGTCTGCATGTGTGCTAGTAAGCTCTGGAGATGCAATTCTAACATCCCTTTCAATACAGCTCATACGCTGCTTTATGAAAGTGCATATTGAGAAATAATGGTTTCAAATGGATTATGAAGATATCAATAATCTGGGAGGCCTGGGAGTTTTGTTTGATGTATACCTGTTCTCCAAGGTTTCTATCTTCATTTACCTATTCCAGGAAACTACTCAGTCCAGCAAAGCATATGGCCATGTGTTTCATTTAAGCATGTCTGCAATCACCCTGCCATCAATATAACCATTTGCTTAAGTGCTTTCCTGAATTCACAGTGCTACAAACTTATGTTATCAATCACCTAGTGAACATTTTCCATGCAACTTGAGAACATAAAAGCACCGAACAAAAAGGTCTCACAAGAGGGTTAACCAGCAGGTTTCCTAGCTGAGTAGATTTTCATTAGTCTACAAAGGATATTTACAACAGGGTTTTCGGGTCAAGATGTGGTATTGAACTCCAAGAAGCAGGACTGGAGAAGGCTTTTCAGTCGGGGACACTGAAAGACCATAAAGACAACCAAGAACTCTATTAAATCAAGAGCTGGAACAGCATGGTCTCTGCTGTGTTCTGCTTTGGTTTCCAGGAATTAAGAGCTGATTCGTTTCTGACAGCTGGTAAGCAGAATTTTCAGAAGCCCAGGAGTATAGGCTAGACTGTAGAGAATAGTGTAGGAAAACAAGCTAGGAAATTAGGTACTGTTAAAAATATAGTCATTTAAAAAGATACATTTATCTCTTAGTTTTTAACAGGTCCATTTTTAATTAAATCACATACAACTTGAAAAACTGGCTGGCTGGTCATATTTAGCTCCCTGATTGTATTCATTTAGATAGTTGTGTTAATAATTGAGTTTTCAGCTCAGGGACCATGTTAGGATAAAGAAATAGCTTACACTTTTTCTACGGTTTCACAAGATTTGTTTTTTCACTATGTCAGTATCAAACATTTACTTTAAGTTACAGTTTGGAACCCTTAATTCCTGCAAGAAGCTGCTTGCAGATTACCAGTTCAGTCAGGAACATAATCATTAACTGTCATCGAAGGACATCCATTGCAGATCCAACGGGAGCACACTCCTGTACTCCCCACAAGCTGAAGCCACTCTGGTTTCAGTGGAATGAAACTACTCTGTGGTGTTCAGTGCAGCTGTGGTCATATTCAAGGAAGGAAAAAGGCTGAGCAGTTTTCAGAGGCAGCAATGGGGAGCCCTGTGCTCAAGGAGTCGTCCTTCAAGTCTGGGAAAAAGAAACTATATTGATTTACCTTCTGCATATGACAAGGCAGCTGCCAGCCAAAGTCTCCTCCTCCTCCGAAATATCAGATGCAGCCCTTGTTCCTTCAGAAGAAGCAGATATCAGCCCTTATCACCTTTCTGTGTACTGAAGTGCAAGTTACTGTTCAGTGCAAAAAGCCATAGGTCTGTGCTGCACTCCCAGGTCATAGCTGACTGTCAGCTGCCAATCATTATGCGCTCATCTTCTGCTTCTTTCATGATTTTTCCTTATGGGTAATGAAGATGAAAATAGTTCTGTGAATGCTTCTGAAGTCTTTAGATGAAAGGCACTGTGTGAAAGCAAGATAACCGTCTTACCAAGACACAGCCTGAGACAAAACCAGGCAAAGACAGGAAAGCTTCAGTGAGAGCTGCAAGAAGATTCTGCTGTAACAACTTGTATAGTTCAGATCTGAACAGATTTGTATTGCTCTGGTGTGAACAGAATATTACAGGGCCTCAATGAAACATATGTATCACTGTGAGGTCAAATTAGGTGAATTAGCAACATATAGAGCTTTTTACTTAGAGAACAGAAGGTGGTTCAGCCTCTCCAAGGCGTCACTGGTTTGTTTTCCCAGGGAGCGTTACAGCCTCTGAAGTTTGCTGGCTGCTGTGCCCTGCTGA